TGACATCAGGGTAGCCTGGGCCAGAGAAGGGCTCTGCTACAAGTAAACACTACCAAGTCCAGATACCGTGACTGCCAGACTCCAACAGAAATGGCCAGTATCCTCCGAATGTATAGCAGACTGCTTTTCAGAAAGACTTTAATTCAATGTCAGACTTCAACATTTGCTTTAAAAAATTGTCAGCTCTGTGCTCAGTGACCAGTGTGGAGCTCCATTTGCCTATCATCACCTCACTAACAACCTGGTTTTTAGTTACTGTGCACAAACACATGAGTACTTGTAAGTTTCTAATGTATCCAATCAAACGCTGTTGTAAGCTGGGGGAGTGCTAGGAATAAACAAAGTAGAATTTTGAGAAGAATGACATACCAAGAAACTAATATGGACAAATACATCTATAGAGACAATTAGTGGCTCCTGAAACCATGCGTGGTGCCACCCCCAGCATCCCAGCCTACCCAGGGAGAGGACATGGCGAGCAGGCAAGCGGGAAAGGGCTGCCAGCGTGGAACAGCCTTTAAAGAGCTGCAGCTGTGTGTTCAGTGCCTGTTTCTTTGGGGGGAAAAAAGCAAACTTCACTTAGAAGACGTAATACTGAGCATATAATAGAATCCCAGCAACTTTATAAATTGAACCAGTAGCATAGGTGCCGTATCCAGACTTCTCCCATTATTAAGAAAATGTAACTTTTAGAATTTTTATATTTAGAAGAGAAAGCATGTTTACAACTGAGTGTAATGTCTATTTTTTAAACTCTTATTTTTATTACTCTAAACATAAAACTGCTATTTTCACAGAGTTGTGGAGCTGAGAACTGTGGCTTTCCATTGTTTTGACATGTTTTGGCTGAACATGAACTAATAGTGTATTCCTCATAGCATCATTGACAAATGTCAGGAAGACTAATCAGGTGTGCCAGAATGAAACAGCTTTCTGAAAAGGATTTCCATATATCCAGTGTGACTTTCATATGTTCCGTTGCTTATGAACATTAACTGAGATGCTTCCACAATAAAAATCTTTGAGAAAATTATCTCTGAAAAGTAATAGCTGGAAGCATGTGGTACTAGTAATTTTAGTTGTTTGGGGTTTTGTAGTTGTGCATTTGACTTGCTATTGAAAATATGTATCTAGCCGGGTGCTGGTGGCTCACGCCTGTAATCCTAGCTACTCAGGAGGCTGAGATCTGAGGATTGAGGTTCAAAGCCAGCCCGGGCAGGAGAGACCGTGAGACTCCTATCTCCAATAAACCACCAGAAAACTGGAAGTGATGCTGTAGCTCAAGTGATAGAGCGCTCGCCTTGAGCTGAAGAGCTGAGGGACAGCGCCCAGGCCCAGAGTTCAAGCCCCACGACCGACAAAAAAAAAAGAAAATATCTATCTATCTACTCATAAAAATTTTACTGCTTGGGCTGGGAAGGTGGCTCAGTGGTGGAGCACTTGCCTTGCATGCCTGAGGCCCTGGGTTCGATTTCCCAGCACCACATAAACAAAAAGAAAAAAAGCCGGAAGTGGCGCTGTGGCTCAAGTGGTAGAGTGCTAGCCTTGAGCTGAAGAGCTGAGGGATAGCGCCCAGGCCCAGATTTCAAGCCCTATGACTGGACCCCCCCCCAAAAAACTGCTCATACATACTAAATTTAGACCTGTACTTACCATATATATCCACAAGATGGACCTCTTGATATTTTGTGTGTTTCTTCAGTTGTCCAAAAATTACTCAAATAAGAAAATCTCAATCTTTTTCAATTTTAAAAATATTTTACAAAGGCATACAATATGCTCTTCCCTTTCACATATCTTAATACTTAAAGGTGTTTCTAGAAGAGGATTTAATTTCTTCTTACAAAATTATCAAAGTTTTAAAAATATTTTGAATTCATCAAGAGCAGAATTACTTGCATTCTTTAAATATTGTTACTTTAATAATTATGCTTTATTTTGTGAAAATAGTAATTTTTAAAGTCTCATTACTGAGTAATACTAGTAATGGTGTTGGGAAGGTAGCTCAGTGGTAGAGTACTTGCCTTGCATGCCTGAGGCCCTGGGTTCGATTCCTCAGTACCACATAAGCAGAAAAAAAGCCAGAAGTGGTGCTGTGGCTCAAGTGGTAGAGTGCTTGCCTTGAGCTGAAGAGCTGAGGGACAGTTGCCAGGCCCAGAGTTCAGACCCTACGACCAGCAATAATAATGCTAGTAATGAAGAATTGAGGAATTCATATACTGTCCCTGTTACTACGACATAAATCGATTTTCTAAGTTGTTAGTCTCTTAAGTATAAACTTTCTCTTCAAATTTATACAACATATGCACATTTACAGATATTTATGTATATCCCATTACCATATGCTTTTTCACTGCTTTCAATTTTTTTTCCCTCTGGTCCTAGGGCTTGAACCTCAGGGTCTCGACTCTGTTCCTGAATTTTCATGCTCAAGGTTTTACCACTTTGAGCCGTATTGCCAGTTTCAGCTTTTAGGTAGTTAATTCAAGATGAGTATCACAGACTTTGCTGTGCAGATTGACCATGATTCTCAGATCTCAGCCTCCTAAGTAGCTAGGATTTGAGGCAGGCGCACTGGTGCCTGCCTTTTATTGTCTTTGTTTCTCCAATTAACTTGAAATATATTTGAGATGTGATGTCATACACTTATTTACTACAGGATTACCTATACTTACCTGGCCAGAATGAATGTATTTGGTTCACCTTTATATCTTAGCCTTTTTTTGTTCCTGAGAATATGAAATATTGAAGTACAATTAGAGAATAGTTTGAGTAATAAAAATACAATGGTAAAAGTTAGATACTATGCCCAAATATTTCAATTAAAATGTCTATTAGTTTTTATTACATTTTAGAATTTTTGAGTCAACCAGCCCAGACCTTCCTTTGTTTACCTTAACTTTATTATCTTTTATCTTAATTTTATTATCTATGGAATTTGACTGAGGCATAGGTCATCTCCAACCTTGGGCCCTGTCTGGTTCTTTCCTAAGCAGTATTTATTCATCTTTTGTGCTTTGAAGGCCAGAGAATTTCTGGAATAGTAGCACCTATCCTCTATTCACTTCATAGTGGGTCTGTGGGCACTTCCATGTGAGGAACATTGGAATTTCAGTTTTAGACAATGGGTCCCGATGGCCATTCAACATGGAGCATAATAAGAGATAGGAGCTGCTAATATGTAGGGCGGTGTAGAGGGGAAAGTGTTTTAGTGCTTGGTAGGTTACAATGGATTTTGAATAAAATAGCACCAAATGCCTTCTACTTAGAAAAGATATAGATGTTTCATTTCACAGACTGAGACTCATAAAAAGAAGTGATTTTCAGAAAGTTATACAGAAAGTTATACAGCAAGAGGTAAACTGGTTTTTTTTTCTACCATAATTTCTTCAAAAAACAACTAGCTGGGTGTCAGTGGCTCATGTCCACTGACATGAGACGAAGCTCTACCTCAAGTGGTAGAGCACTAGCCTTGAGCACAAAATGCTCAATGACAACACTCAGTCCCTGAGTACAAGCTCCGATACTTGCACCAAAAAACAGAAAACCTTACGATGAACTATGTTTGCTTGTCTCAAGGACTTATGATAGGTTTCTTCAGACAAATACTACCACAAAAGGCGAGCAGCTTCCGTGGATATATGATCCACAAACAGCCCTGATTCGGAAAAGGAAAGATCTAGAAAAGCAGTGCCAGAGTAGATGGATCCTGTAGAGGATGCCCAGTTGTGCTAGGTGTTATCTGGCAACCACACCAGTAGCTCACATATGCTAGATGCCAAGAACGTGCTGGAACTATGCCGGCACACGAGCTGCTCCATCTCTGCCTCCCCGCAGAGTGGTGCTGTGCTGAGAGGTGTTCAATCTGTGGGGAAAACAAGCAGCTGGATCCGAGTCCTAACTCCCAGCCATTGCTCCTGCACAACCCTGGTGCTATGAGGGAGGGAAGGAGAGAAAAAAGAAAGGAGGAGGGAGGGCGGGAGGAAGGGAAGAAGGAAGGCAGGCAGGCAGGCAGGCAGGCAGGCAGGCTGATTGGTTCAAGGAAGGCTCTCTGGAAGGATATTTGCTCTAAAGGAACGTCTGTGGTTGTTTATTTCCTGCTTTGTGCCAAAGTTAATTTTCACCTTTGTGTTGAAGTAAATTTCCTCTTTATAATCTCTACTCCTATCTAAACCTTTTTTTCTTATAATAGGGTTTTAATAGTATTCACAAATTTGAACTTTATTAAGAAGGGCGTAATTTTCATTGTGGTAGAATTTTCACCAAGTTATTGCTTATTTCTAGAGTAAATTTGTACTCTTCAGTACTCAGTAATACATAAATTTAAATTAACTTGCAAAAGGTAATTTGATTTTCAAGGCACAATGCATATACTTAAAGAATTTACAAAACAAAGTTGACATTTTCTTTCATAAGTTTGGGTTTTGATGGTTCAGAAGTACTGGAAATACTTATTTCATAGACTGCTGTTCTAAGACATTGCTCATCCCAATCCCAAGAAACTGTAAAACATGGGTTAATTTCCTGCAATAAGTAGTCATTTAATTAAAGAACAAAATTAACAGGAATCAAAATGTTGGAGCTGTATTTTTTGTTAGACATATAAAAAAAGACAAAGTATAATACAGTAAATCATTTTATATAACATGAACTTGGTTTTCAAATGAATCATGATCTGAATAAAAATGTCTTTTCAACAAAATACTGAATGACACCGAGCCCCATCCCCCGTGGGAGGCCTGGGAATGGTGGCCGCGCACGCGCACCGCCTGGCCTGGTCACCACGTGGAACTGGGAAGCATGGCTGAAAGGCCAGGGACAGCTTTCTTGTGGAGTTACTCTGACCCCACCAGTTCGCTCTCAGGCTCCAAAGAAGGAAGCGTCACCTCTGGGTTAGTCCTCTTGCAGGTAAGTGTGGCCAAGATACACCTGTGCGTGTGCGTCTGCTTTTCACACACACACAGCAGAGTCTTGCGCTGAAAACGCCAGGGAAGTTCCCTGATGAATGTTCAGTGTTGGTATCAAAAGTTAAACACAAATTCTTCTCAGAAGAAAATCTCTATGGCCTGTGGAATCTAAAAATGATGGAAAAGACAAAAAGCTTATGCATTTCTAATAGTTAAAACTGTCCAAAGTCTGCTAACACATAAATGGACTATTAAGCACTTCTCAGAAACCCAACAGACAGAGGAAGGAAGGACGGATGGATGGAGCTGCTGTGGCAGCGCTGTGCAGGGCTCCCATCCCCGGAGACAGGCCGAATTCCTTACAAATTCTTGATTTCTAGAAATTGGTTTTGAAAGCTGCTTAGTTAGGCCTCTAAAATAGATGAATGAGTGCTTTGCTAAACCCGTAATTGGTTGCTAAAGTTTTGGATGTTGAGAATAATTTTATAGCCATTTAATAATGTGTGCATAGTAATGTGACAAGAAAATCTTACATACCTAAAAACGTTTGTATGACCAAAACTGATATGAAATATTAAATGCAATATGTGGTAAATATGTGTGTAAGGAACTTGTCTAGATTTAGGGCTAGATAAATGTATTTACTAAATACCTTTTTAATAATATATAATGGGAAAGTATAATGCACTGAGAAACTATGTGGTAATTATACCCTAATTTAAAAAACAAAGCCAACATTAAAAATAATTCACATGTTTTATAGAACTTTATTTCCTAAATTTTCATAAGACTTATTCAGAGTATTCAGAGTTAAGTTACTCCTTCCCCTATGCCTATTAGACATGAAAGATGAACATAACACAACAAACCATTTGTGTCATTTTCCCCAGTCCTTTCTACCTCCACTTTCTCCCTTGATACAGTCATTCTAAAACCACTGGGGGATGGGGCAGGAGCGCAGCCACGCTTCATTCTGTTCCTTAGCAGAAGCAGTGCACAGAGCACCTCTTATTGAATGACTTGTGACAAACAGAAGGGAGGGGTGGTGGTGTGGTGTGGTGGTGGTGGTGGTGTGGTGGTGTGGTGTGGTGGTGTGGTGGTGTGG